AAATATATATGTATACAATTTTGATGAATTTTACTAACATCTTAAAAACAAATAAATTTAGTTCGATGCTTCATCATCAAATTTATACATTATGATTTAGCATCAACATATGAATTAAAATATATAGGTATATAATTTTGATGAATTTTACTAACATTTTTAAAACAAATAAATTATATTCGATGCTAAAGTTTTATACGCGAGTTATTCTGTTTTAATTTTATTAATCCGCTTCCTAGTATCAAGGTCAGATACAAACGTAAAAGTTTTATAAAGAAACATTACATCAAATTACAAAATTTTAGAAATGGAAAATCTAAATGACAGATTTCGAGACACGAAATCTTTGTCGTCATACACGAATAAATTATGAATAATATGTGAGTTTCCTCTTAACTGTTATTAAAAGAAATACATATACACAATATATATCAGCTAGAAGCTGTACTACGAATAACAGATAATTTACAAGCATCAAAATTTATAATTACAGGACAGCGGATTCGTCCATAATAACCACATAAATAGAGAAATACATAGCTTCCTGCACATGTAAGAAGTTCTCTATCAATTCTTGAAAAAAATAAAACACTGTAGCTTACCTTTAAGTTTTGAGTTTAGCTTCCAAATTCAAAAGTGTTCTGACACGTTCATTCTCCGCCGATAACGGGACACCACTACTTAGTTGGCCCACAACCGGCTATTAAGTAAGAACCATTTCTGTAAGACTCGTGGCACAATCAAAATTAATCTTTGTGACTGTATAAATAAATTTCAAAGTAGAATGATGGACGGGTCATGTTAAAATTGCTTTGAGAAACAGTAGTGCGATCAATCGGCCCGTACACATCGTGTCCAGCAATCATTATCATTGTAATCTTAAAATTGTTGATATTTTTGTATACAATCTTTACTTAAAAACATGTTTCAAGAAGATTTTCTCTTCAATAGCGCTCGTTTTTTAAGGTTTTGTATCCAAAGGGTAAAAATGGAACCCTATTGATGTCACTCCGTCGCCTGTCTGTGAGTATGTTGCGGGTCTTTTGATTCTAGATGGAATGAGTTACAGAACCGAAATTATACATACTACTTAAAATTACTTAAACAAATGATTTTTTTCCTTCCTTAGTTTGCTGTACTGAATCATGCGAAAGTCCGACTTGCACTTGGCCGGTCTTTTATTATTTTAAATTTGCTGCTATTTGCTGACAATATTATGTCCAACTTTTCGATGTGTAAATTTACAAAGAATAATGATGACTGTAATTTAAATTATTTGTAGTACCTTAAAAAATAGTTTAACACAAAAAATATTCTCGGCAAGAATGTTTGTGCATTACACACAAACAAATGACCGTATAACGCTAAAAAAATTCACTACTGCAAATACAAACAAATCGGTACCCACTAATCTGCACTGGGCCCGCGTGAGCCAAGCTGGGCTCAAGGCTCCTTTTCCTTATTCCATCCAGTGCGGATTGATGGGTGGTATATAAATACATATTACACCGTAACGTGGCGTCACTAAGTGCGTTCTATCGTCTTTACCACGGCGAGTGTTCTCAGGAGTTATTCTCTCTTATTCCACCTTCCCCTTTCATTCAGAGGACCACGCGCGCTGGCCTACTTTGTCACCATGTAACTATGGCCACAATTCCAACGCGCACAAAGAAATTTAGTGACTCATTTCTGTGTCGCACTATCCGTAAATGGAATGCTCTGCCTGCTCACGTGTTCCCTCCTTCTTACAACCTGAGATCCTTTAAAAGAGACGTAAAGAAGCAACATGCAGGTCGGCTAGGTAAGGATGGCTAGTGGGGCAGGTAGAACTGCTGTACCAGCTATCTTCACGTCTGGACTTCACCGTCACTTAACATCAGGTGGGGTGGAGTCATTAGTCGCACAAATCTATAAAAAAAATAGTTTTTTACTTTGTTCCAACTGAGTGTTCCGCGACACACACGATATTTTTTTTTCACTTAAGTAGATGACTTCGCTAAGCCAACTAACTAGACTTAAAAGATTGTAAAGTACCCTACAGCTCTTGGCCTTCTGACCTTAACTAAACAATTAAATAGCAGCCTTGAATACGGACATATTATATATCAGTCATGTCGCAAATGTATCTTAGTACACATTGTAATAATATTTATATTTATACTAGCTTTCCCAGAGAAGTTCGTACCGCCATAAAAAAATAGGGGTTGGTAGTGGTGGTAGAAGGGTGAAAAGTAAGGGTTGTATGTAATTTTGTATGATGTATCATAGAAAAATAAAAACAAAAAGAAATGTGCAAAAAAAATAATATTTAAGGGTGGACCACCCAACATTTGGAGGATGAAAAATAGATGTTGTCCGATTCTCAGACCTACTGAATATGCATATAAAATTTCACGAAAATCGTCGAGCCCTTTCGGAGTAGTTCAATTACACAAACCGTGATACGAGAATTTTATATATTAGATAATTTTTTGTATGTAATAATAATAATAACAACACTCACACCAATTAGCCAAGCCCCAAAGTAAGCACTGTAGGCTTGTGTTATGGTATACTAGCGTAACGGATAGAATACATATACTGATACATATATAAGTATATTCATGTAGAAATACATATTGAACATCCATGACTGGACTACACATGCTCGTATTCATCACACAAACATCTGCCCCCACCGGGATTCGAACCCGGTACGTCACGAGTAGCCGACACATTGAAACCCGGCGTACCTATATTCCACTGGGCCACAGAGGTCGTCAACAGTGTATTGAAAGTGATACATCTGTAGTTTCTAGATTAAACGTCAGTCAGAAAAATGTGAGGTTCTATGAATGAACTATAGATATAATAAAATGGTAGCAAAGTCAAAAATGTACATAGAATATTTTTTTAAAGAATGCTTGTGCTGTGATCTACAATCGACACCGAAGGCAAAAATATAGTTTTTATATTTTTTGTCTGTTTGTATGTCCGGGATAAACTCAAAAACTACTGCATGGATTTATATTACTTCAAATTTGGCACGAATATTATTAAGAAGTCGGGTCAACATATAGGCTACATATTATCACGCTATCACCTACGGGGAACGAGCAGTGAACCTTTATTTCTAACTAACTCCACGCGTACGAACGCGAAATTTGTTTTCTTTTGGTGTTCTTGTTTTCTGTTGGAGAGTAAGGTTCCAGGGCTCCACGGGGTAGGAGATTGGATCTAGGTAGGCAAAAGGTGCGAGTGATATTTTTGGTATCGCAAGCGTCATAAACACAAACGGCCGTATCGTTTTGAAGTGAAACTACTTTTCGATTGGGGTGTAAATGGAAAAATCCTATGGAAAATATGAAACCGAAATGCGTCACGAGCGTCATACGACTATATTTGTTTGTTTGTGTGGGATGTGTGCGCAGTTCTTCCCGACGAGATGTATGAAAGTTGGAGGGTAACTCGGCGAAGGCTGAAACGCTACTAGCTTCACACGCGACAATATATATATAAGTGTATATATTTGAGTGATGATTGCGCTGCTTCATTTTCCTACGCCTTGTCTACCGCCGAATATTAGGTTATTTAAGAAAAGTTTTTTTTTAGTTTACTAACAAGTTTGTTCTTTCGCAGCTTCAAAGGGCCGTAAACCGAAGTAACATGATTTAAGTTTTAACTCGATAACTCCACTCGTTCCCGTGATAAATATTCTTGACAGAAAACAAGGTGTTCCTAAAGGGTTCCGTTTTTTCCTCTTGAGGTACAGAACCTTACAAATGGACACTCTTGCGAAGTGGTTTGGTTTTAACATTGCAGGCAGCAGACGGGACTCGAATCCGCCATCAACCCATCGCTATCCGATTAAATACACTGACCATTACGCAATCGCGTGGAATTTTTCCTAGCAAAATTTTCTTTAGATTTAAAAATGTAGAAGTAATATGCCTATAAAATAAATTTATAATTGAAGAAGGTTTTCCGGACTTCGCAAACTACAAAAATAGGTCAGGGTCAACGATATATCGTTGGTCAGGGTAGACTACGCGTGAGTCATACTCCAGTATCACAAGGCTATGGTGCCCGATTACCAACAGGTAAATATATTATCTTTATTTGCAATTTTTTGTAGTTAAACTTCTTTACGCACGCTTGACTTGGGGGGGGGGGGGGGGGGTAAGCTGGCGAATGCGTTACGCCGTATGTTCGGGCGAAGCGAACGGGAGTTGAGTGGGGGATCGAAGCAAGAGAAAGCAGTGCGCGCGCAGATATTCTTTCTCTCAGTCTTATAGCTAGTAAATGGAATATGTATATGTACATACATGTATATATTGTACACACATGGCGCTAAAGAAGTTTATCTCCAGTCGTGTGGTCATAAGCACACTTTTATAACATTTGAAATAAAATTCCGTTACTTGCGGTACCTTTAAAAATGAAACTAAATATCAAATCGATACAATTATCGTATGTAATAGGTATGTACACTGAAAAGCGATTTAGGTGCCCCCAGGCTAGGTATCTTATTTCTTTGGACAGGTTTTACTTAAAGTCGACACTTGTATTTAAACATCAAAATAATGGCACATATTGACCATCATGTTAACATGATGGGCCCTCGCATAAATCGCTCCCGAACGTGCGTGGTCAACTCTCCTTACACTAGCTTACGTCTTTCCGTAGCCTAGCTTACGTCTCTCCGTACCCTAGCTTACGTCCTTCCATAGCCTAGCTTACGTTTCTCCGTAGCCTAGCTTACGTCTCTCCGTAGCCTAGCTAACGTCTCTCCGTAGCCTAGCTTACGTCTCTCCGTAGCCTAGCTAACTTCTCTCCGTAGCCTAGCTTACGTCTCTCCGTAGCCTAGCTTACGTCTCTCCGTAGCCTAGCTTACGTCTCTCCGTAGCCTAGCTTACATCTCTCCGTAGCCTAGCTTACGACTCTCCGTAACCTAGCTTACGTCTCTTCGTTCGCGCCCCTCTCTCCATACATAAAGTAACCACTCCGTTTTAAGTAGTTAGGAAGTGCCGTCTCCTAAAACGGAGTGAAAACTTCTCTATGACTGATCAAACTGTGCCGTCTAGCCGTCAATCAATGGTCAGCGTGCCGTAAGTGCGCCGTGTGTGCTATGACGCTTAAACTTGAAAATTATACCTGCTGCGTTACTACCCATTTTAAATACAAAAATATACTTACTTTGACGTAGACGTTAATAATCAAAACAAGTCAATTAATAGCTCAAAACTTAAAGCCTTCTGTGTATTTTAATGGAAAACAGCAATTTAGGAAAAAGGCATTCAAAAATAAATAAATAAATGGAAAACAAATGAAGGTGAACACTTCAAATGAAACACGGCCCCTTGCAAGTGATTCGAGAATAATAAAAACAATAACATTTATTCACTATTGGTTATCAAACTCCATTTTTATCTACATAAGGTACAATGTTTTGTATTGTGTTCATAAATCAACAAAGCTTATGCGCAAACCGATTGAAAACCTTTTGATATTATTCTTACTTATTCATCAAATTAATGCAATTATATAAACATTTTGCTATATTTTAAATGTAACTTAGACAAATTACGGATCACAGAAAAATACTAAATCATAATTGTATTTTCATACAATCGCATCGCACCTATATTACACGTAAATTAAAAAAATATATAAAAAAGAATTAAACATAATTTTCATTAATAATTACGTATTCAATCGGTCCGAACATACCTAATATGTTTTTATATATTCTGTTTTTTACATTAGATAATATATATGCTTTATATTTGTTCAATCTCCACAATATGATCAGGTAATGTGTAAAAATATTCAATACTTTTAATAACAAATTAATATTATATTGATATAAATCATCTCATACAAAAACAAGGTTTACAAAAATTTAAATGACTCTTTTCCTTCCATCCTCTGTTATTTGGCTATTTATAAGTCATGATACCCGTAAATCCGGCATCCTAGAAATATAGAAGCTCTTTCGAAATTAACGAAATAAATTGTCATTTTGAAAAAAAAAAATATTAAACAAAGTTATAGAGTCATACAAATACACAAATTTCATTTATTTTTTACTGGTTTTTATTCACCGATTATTCCCGTTACCATCAACCTTGCTTTTCCAAAATACTTTTTTTTTGATAATTTTTAATATTTACTAATTGTTACGTGTCCAAATCTATATTAATTTTTTTAGTGAAAATTTAGCAAAACATAGTACAAAAGTTTTAGAAATACCTACATAATATACTACCCAGCAATTAAACGTACCCTATATCTATCTCTATCGTACTATACTCTTTTCGTACGCGTGCGAAAGGGACAAACGCATCTCGTTAGATACTCACCATACTCTGCACCAATAGAAGTCTACGTTAAAATCTCTAATAGAATGGACACGGCTTTATTAAATGGAAAATATTATTATTTATTTTCTTTTCAATTTGTAAAAATAATAGTTTAAGTCAAGTCAAGTTTTCAAATTTGATTTGGGTTCATTTTTATAAAAATACGGTATGATTTGAAATTATATCCGAGGAAAAATATACGTACAGAAAAATATATAAAATATTTATTAATTGTTAATAAGTAAACATTGATTTTGCAAGTTTTAAGCTCTGGGTAATTTGACAACCATATCTTATTTTCAATCCTCACAAAATACTCCTGGTAGAACTTCTGGAGAATGACTGACTGTATTAAATCCTCGATTTACAAAACATTATTTTACAGAACCCAATTGAAAAAAAAAACACGTTTCTTCAAACAATAAACTTCAATGTAATTAGATTATGTTGTTTTGCTATATTTTAAATTTATTGCATAATGAGTAGTCAATAATAAAACATCACTTCAATTTTAAATCACTCATTATTAAGTCAGATATTTTTTATTTTATTTTTTACTGTGGACAAGTTAAACTGTGGTGGTATAAAACAAAATCTATTAGAAATGAACCCAAATCATATTATGTAATGAGGGACTTACGTATCTCTGGAAAAGGCATGAATAATTTTGTTTAGCCGATTTTCAGTCTTAGTGCTCTAAATTTTATTGTTTTAAATTAATACCCAATGGGGAATGCCCAAACCCTTATTTCTATTAAAACAATATTTAATTTTGACAAAACAAGCATAACTATGTAGTGAAAATTTTCGAAATGACAGTTTAAGAAGCAGTGTCATTTATATATATTATATGTTATTGTAAATCAAAAGGAAAATAATTTGATTGTACATTATGAAAATCATAAAATACAGTTCATTTATTACTAACTTTTACATTTTATAAAACTAAAATACATTTTTTTGCAAATATTACCACCAGTTGTGTATTAGCAAATTTCATAATGTGAATTTAAGTGCTAATGTGAGTTATTACTTAAATCAAAATCGTGTATCGGGCTTCGTCCATAATTAAAGCTAAATAATTTATGTTGTGTCTAAAAAAGCCTACTAATGTGTAAATTTTGAAAAAAAAACAATAAATTTAAGTGACTTAGTGAATAAAAATATATTTAACAACACAGCTATTGGACAAACAATGTCTGAAAACGGAAGAATTATAGTTATATGATAACTATAAAACGATAATTTGAACCACCCGTATATTTTATTATTACTATTAATGATTCTCACTATTAATATAATTATTAATCCTATTTTAATATACTTTGCGAACAAAACTGTCCAATACCATCGAAATTTCTGAAAAACTAAAGAAAAGGAAAAAAAACATCAATGGAATGATTAACATAAAATAAAACAAAAGACATATAGACAATAACAGATTGCTTTATTTAACAAAAAATATATAATATATATTTATATATATGTAAAGAAAAAAAATCTATATTTTTCACCTAACCTCACAAGGATCACCTCGTATTGTACAGTGGAAAATGTGTTTTATTTCAATAGAATGTAAAATTAAAAATAACCCATCGAACCTTATAATGATATTTAATATAAAATACATACGATTAATAGCTATTTACAAAATACGAGTTAAGATTTATACTTCTTTTTTAACATTAATATAAACCAGTCTATAGTAAAGGCTATCCGACAAAACTTAGCGTAGGTGTTAGAAAAATTTACGGTTATTCATAATTCTAATTAATACAGCAGGCAATTTTCAGTCAACGAAATTAAAATTTCCAAAAAAAATAAGTGTAATATGTATAAGTTCACAATACATCATTAAAAACGCAAAAAGCTGTAAAAAGAAACTTTATTACGTATAATGTACTTGGTTTTGATAACTATGAATAATACAACAATCAAAAATTATTATGCTCTTTCTGTGTTCTGATTTTTACATATAATATTATTATTATGCAAAATAAAAACGAGAAATCCGCAATATATATCTCGAACATGGCACCAAAGCGAAGAAATGTGCAAAAATGAGATCAAAATTTATTCAATACACAAGACAGAGAGAGAGAGAAAAATAAAAAAAATACAAAAAACAAAGTAAAATTAATTAAAAATTGCCTGCCTGAGAACAGTAGTAGGTACAAAAACGATTTTTGTTCCGTCAATTAGTTCATTTGTTACTTTCATTTATTTTCGTCAAATAATAAATGAAACATGATGCAAAATGTTCGTTTGAAATGTTTACTTTGTTCGACGCATCCCGACTTCAGTTCGTTTTGTTTTACGTAATGTTTGCTTGTAATGGATGATCGAAGAAAAAATCATCGAACGACATAATTAGGTGTATAATTAACTATTTATTTAGCTTTTAATTAACAGAAAAAAAACATAAAAGATCTAACGGAAAAATACACTTTACGGGCAGTATCGTTTACTCCTTATTATTAACAACCTAATACGAAAAATCTACACTGAATGAAAAAACATCAATAATATAATCATTTGTAATAAATAACAAAATTACGACAATTTATAAAAATAATAATAATGTTAAAAAATAATAAGACTTATTTATAACGATCCGCTTAAACGAAACTGTGATATTTTAAAATCGCTACCTCATTATAACTCCTTTACTTTTCTTAATAAAAATTCTATTTCTATTATTATAATTTTATATAATAATTATTATTTCCTCTTCAAAGTTAGATACATTTATGATAATTATATTAAGGTTACGAATCCATGTTTTATAAACACATGACAATCAGTAATACAAAATTCTCATGTATTTATATGTCCAATCGACAAAATCAGGTCTTATTTCCATAACACTAAAATCGTTATGATAAATCAAAACCGTTTATGACGAAAGAAAAGAATACATTCACGTAAGGTATACATATAATCTGAAAAAAATAAATCTAAAAACCGTGGACACTCGCGACACATTCATAATATTATGAAAAATTAAATAAACACTTTTTTTATTCTTTAAATATTAATATTGTACGTACGTACCTATACGTAAATATCATAATAACAGTCTCAAAGTACATACATACAATTATAAATAGGTTAACAATTGCGTCGGCGGTTGTCCATGGTCTCTCTAGGGGAGGATCATAGGGGTACGGGGATGGGGGGAGGGGGGGGGGGGGTTAAAAATACGTAGCTGTCAAGTCTTTGCGAAACAAATAAAAACGCGTGCGTCCTTCCTCGTCGTGGGAATGAGATCGGACCGATTTTTATTTTAATATATTTTCCTTTTTTTATATGAAAAATCCCGCGCTTCTTCCGGTCCTTCTATCCGTGTGTGTAGTCCAGAACACTGTCTAAGGAGAACAGTTCCTTGTATAGCGCCGGAAATACGTGGTGTGGGTGTGCAGCTTTGAAACGGCAAAGCGCTTCTAGATGCATCAAGGATAGCTCTCTGAAAAGATACAATAAATAATAAAAAATACGTTCAAAATGCCTTTTAGGCAACGTCTGGTCAACCGTTGGTCCCGGTTATCTGTTAGGCTTAGCTCACTAACACGACTCTGATCCAACACCGCTCCCACCAAACAACGCCCTAATCTAAAACGACTGCTCTTAGTCCACGCGGCGACAGCTAGCAGGCACCCAGTTGTCCACGCGGCGACAGCTAGCAGGCCACCAGTTGTCCACACGGTGACACCTAGCAAGCACCCAGCTGTCCACGTGGCGACAGCTAGCAGCCATGCAGCTGTCCACGCGGCAGCAACTAGCTGACACCCAGCTGTTTACGTGGCGACAGCTAGCAAGCCACCAGCTGTCCACGCGGCGATAACTAGCTGTCAGCAGATTGCTTGGTAGCAATGAGACAATGGCCTACTAGCAGTCAGGGCGCGGAAACCGCGCAGACCGCTTGCTTGCAACGCATGGTAAGCGAGGCGTCAACTACCGAACAGTCAGACGGCGAGCTTTAAGTTGCCAATGTAAAGTATATCTAAAGAGCAATACTTGAAGCCCTAGCGGAGTCATGTAAAAACTTTTGCCCTAGCAGTGGATTAATAGGCTAATGATGATGATGCTGGATTTTATGGCAGTCACCTGAAGGTTGGTATCTTGGCGAGCAGCGTGTCGAGCACGGTGACGTCCCCCTTGAGCGGCGCGTGGTTGAGCTCCGCCTCGTGTCGCATGGCCGCCATCGACATGTTGAATAGGCACTGGATCTCCGGGTTGCCGCGCACGCCATGCCGTTCTGATAAGAGAAAAATAGTAGTGATCAATATGTAATCCGACCTTTTAAGATATTCAGATAAAGTAGTAAATCTAATATATAAAATTCTCGTGTCACGGTGTGCGTAATTGAACTACTCCGAAACCGCTCGACCGGTTTTCGTGAATTTTTTTAGAATTGGACAACATCTATTTTTCACCCCCCTAAATGTTAACCCTTAATTATAATTTTTTTGGACAAAATTTTTTGTTTTGTTTTTTTATGATACATCATACAAAAATACATACCCCTAAATTTTCAACTTCTACCACCAACCCCTATTTTTTTATGGCCGTACCGCCAAGTCGCTGGGATAGCTTTTTATATAATTAAGATATTATCTGTCCCGTTTCGTTCTTTTACTTATTTACAATTTTAACCATTTATTTGTCTGTAACCGTGTTATTGAAGTAAATAAATGTTACAATAATGTTAAAAAAACACTAATGCAACCACTTCTAATAATAGTAATTTATTCACTGTAGATGTGACACCCATCCGAAATACATTTAATAATAATACTCGTAAATTAAGGTTCCAGTGCTTCACGGGGTATGGGATGCCTGGAGCGGAACACTTTCTGCCGCATCATCTATCTTCGCAACTGGACACCATCTACACTTAACATAAGGTGGGGTGGAGCAATTTTCTGCGCCTCCTATAATATATAAAAAGAATAAATGCTGTAATTATTCTCACCTGGCCACAGTAACACCAGGCTCTGGTATAGAGCCAGTTCAGTCTCAGTAAGCTTGAGTCGCGCTATGGTCTTCGCTGCGTCGAATATGCCCACTACTAGGGCCATGTCACGGGGATCACTGGAAAATAATATCATTTATAAAGTTGAGAATTACATTCGAATGTCATCCCTGTATCCGATAAAACACTTTTTCAACGGGTTTCAAATATGCTTTTTAGTACTTTTATATACTTTTCTCAATTTTCGGGTAATTAACAAGATATTTTTTATTCTTGCTTTTCATTACTGTTTCTTTACGAGAGAATTAGTGGATAAACAGAGAAACGAGGAAATTGACTTCATTTTAGACTCAAGAGGGTCTATACAAATAAGGGTGATAGGAATTGAATAGAATATTTGTTCAATTTTGTATTTTATAAAATATCCTGTCATTTCAAGATTTGAAAAATGAAACGTATTATGAACCATCATTATTTGAAACAATTGCAATCTCTTGCTATTTTAAACCCGGAGACTAATTATTGAAAATGATTAAAATTCTATTTTTTACATAATTTCATCAAAGTAAACGAACTAACATTAATTGAACCCGTCAAAATTTAAATGTAACTCACCGTGCGTGCACACATTCCCTTATAGGTAGAACGACGTCGCCGTACAATACTTGTTCCCTGTTGATGTCGATCAACCTCGACAGGCGCACTATAGCTAGCTCGAATGAACCTGAGGACGAAGTATACCTAAATTAATGAACTAGTTCGTACATTTACAAGCACATTACGTTTTGATTCAGTGAGAATTTATAAAACTGCTAGAGAAGCATCCAAATTCAATTACATAATATTACAACAATACAACTCTAAATAATCAAGGTACTGTTTTATACTAATTTATAAATACGTTTAAAGAAACGATTTCAGTAATCATCAAAGAACCAAAATACAAGATGCCATATTTTCAATATTTTTGTTTGAATTAGTAAGTTGAATGATATTACTTGAAACCTACATATTTTACTATTGCTGACTCATACTTCTGTCTATTCATATGACATACTTTTAACTTTCAGATTAAAAATAATATAAATTAGAAAACTTTTTTTTTTGAGTTGGTTGCTGTTGGTCGCAAATGACCTTTACAGCGTCATCGGGTTTGGGGACGGCGAAACACCTTGGGGCTAGGCTAGTTGGTGCGAGTGTTGGAAATATTTATTTATTTATTATTTATTAGGCAGACACCGCACCCGTAGGATAAGAGTGCGAAGACCCGGTCTACACACGACACGCTATACCAGGAACAGGTTCGTACCTGGGCGTTTTTCCCCGCCCCCCACGACAACGGCTAATTAGAGTCGAGGTCCGAGTCTCAGAGACACCCTCTAGTTGTGCCGACCCCCTCACGTTCGAGTGACCTAGAGGCTCCAGACGGAGACTCCACCCTGTGGGGAGATGCCATCTGCCTGGAATACCACTAGCACTACTCGCCAATTCTCGGCTTCAGGTCCCCTTAAGATCTCACCGTCCTCAAACCCGGTGACGCTGTAAAGGTCATCTGCGACCAACAGCATACACACTCAAAAAAAAGTTGATGTGCCTGTGATTGCTCTGTGACATATTTTGTAACATTCATCGACGGCCTTCTCAAAGCGAACGGGTAGTACATATAAACAATCTTAAATATACCAAAATTCATCAGCCCCTTACCTGACTTGAGCAGTAGAATCTGATCGTCTTGTGATAGCTTCATGAATCCTGGAATGAGTTTAGCGAACTCAATGATGTTCTGGATCATCCCTGTGAGTTTGTCGGCGCAGTCTAACCACATCTCTTCGTACGTCATCGAGTTGTAGAACAGAAGTCTGCAAAAAGATTGCGAAACAATAAATTAATCAATTTATAATAGACATCAATATTTGGAAAGCAAGTACCTTATTAAATCGGTCTTGGCTTCTACTCCAATTGTCCTTATTTCAAAACTAGTTAGGGCTATTTATTTGTGTGGTAAACACGAAATATTTATTCCTGAGTCCTGACAATATACAATTTAAAGCTATATCTCTGTCTCCTTGTTACGCTTTCACGCATAAGCGTAGTAACTAATTCTGGAACAGATCGCTTCTAGCGATAAGACCGCCTTTGCCATCATAGGTAATAAGCCTATCCATTTGATTATATTGTTTTCTTTGTATGCAAGCAATAACATTTTTATCTACGAAACTAATATCTATGAAATTTGGTATGTCGTTATCGTTAGGAGAACCATTCCTAATTCTAATAAAACAAAAAGTTTATGATGCCGAAATAGCAACAAAAGCTTTCATGTAAAGTTAACAATATATTACAGAGGAAGTCGCAGTTATATTCTATATTATTAATATCTTTAAGACTCTTAAAAGTTTAGTATCAGTGTTTCGATACAATACTCACTTGGAGACGTCTGGTGGTTTCCGGAACATCTCGTGTATGTACTCCAGCTTGGGGTTTGTGTTCGCGTGCGCCTCGGCCAGACTCTTCACCAGCACCTTGCTGATGTCTCCCTCCGCTGCAAAGAAGAACAATTTATAAATAAATATTATACGCAAACCTGAATCGACTAAAGAACTAACATTCTCGTACTGCCTGCACCTCCGCGACGAAGCTTCGAGTGACTTAGTTACTAAATGCGCTAAAATTAGCGTTCGAAATTTAAATTAGTTTTGTCGTAATGAATTATGTTATCGAGCTGCGCATCTTTAGTCGATAGCTTGACTAGCGATCATATTATAATTGGACACGCATGCACGTGCAAGAGGTTGTGGGAGACGGTAAATTTGGCTTTAGTAGGTACTAAATGCGCTAAAATTTGCGTTCGAAATTTAAATTAGTTCTATCGTAATGAATTATCGGGCTACGTGTTTATAGAAGCTTGGCGATAGCTTAACTGGCGATAATTTTGCACTTATAAAAGCGGTTGTGGGAGGCGATAAATTTGTATAATTTTAGCGTATTTTAGTAGGTACCAAAGCTGCATCACGCAGGTGTTGGAGAAGCATAATAAGTCAACTATCTACCCTCAATAAAAGTTAATTCTGAATTATAGAAATTAGCAGGATTGTTACCAATAATAATATTATCTACCCAATATTACTTCAGTTACTCCGTGAACATGCCACTTGCAACACCGAAGTATCGTAGTACTCCCAAAAACAAGGTAGAGGCAAATTTCTTGAGCAAAACCACAGACAAACTTGCGCAGTTGACGTTTTTGTGTGAAATTGCTACCGCGCAGGCTTCCATGTCTGAGGCTCAAGAAGAGTGCCTGGGAGTATTAGTATAAATGGTCGCTATCCCGCTAATTACTATGTAAATAAGTATAAAATTTAAATCTGTACATTAATTTAAAATTTCGAAGTTTGGAACGCCGTAAGGTATAGAGCCGTAGGGTAGATATTCCGAAGAACTACGAAGAATTACTAGGCAGAACACTGTAGACAAGTGCTGCCACTGCAGTGATGCCATTTGAATCAGTTTTCATTATAAATCCATACAAATCGATAGTGCATTCTAAAGTTACCATCTACAGCATACTTTGGAATAGCATCTTCATGCTAAATGATGAGAATATCAATTATCAATAATTATTTCCATATCAGTTAATGTCGGATATATACGACAAACAATCACTATGGAATGAATTTTGGTTTTTTCTAATAAAAAATGCTAAGGATGACCACAAAGTAGAATATGAAAGTAAAAGATGTGGTCTGAAACCAGATGTGGTTTTAGTATCAATGCACGATGATGTATTTTTTTTATAATCACAATTTATGAAACGGCATTATTTAACATTGTTGTATAAAATTAAAAACGTTACATCTTGTCTTAAATTGATAAATAGACACGATAGAAGTCAGTGATTTTGACCCAGAAAGGCAACTTTTTCCGGTCCATGACCAATTTTTAACTCCACAACACAAGGGCATGGAAAATGGAAAAATCTTAATTCATACTTATTAACGTTCGTTCCGAATTTTATGGTTTTTCCCGGTCAAGGTCTAAGTTGCCTCCCAAAAGTAAACTTTGAAAAACCTCAGTGAAAGGAGTTAGATAAGAGATTATTAAAATTTGGTGACGTGCTTATATTTAGATATGTATAAATCGATAGTTTTAAGTGCTTCTAAATAACAAATCATGCATCTATGTGTCAACTACTACTAAGTACTACTACATAAATCGATAAATCTCAAAAAAGTGGGAAACTTAAACATGCTTTTAAATAATATAAGCTTTTGAAACTTACTTAGCTAAGATAGGCATAGGTATAATCTATTTATTAAAGAGGATCTTATTTTAATATTATAAATTTATTAATACCCTGTTGAAAGGATGGATGACTTAAATAAATTCCTTTAATTGTCTACGTATAGTTGATTAATTTTATGATGTCTCTTTCTTTATTATATAAGACTCTTTAAAATACATCGTAGTGTCAATGGTATTCACTGTAATGTCCCCAAGTTCATAAATAACTAATTAAAACTTTTAAATTAAAATACACAATAATTTCAATCAATACGTTTTACAAAGAGATTATAATTTTTTCCGTTGACGTATTTTTACGACAGAGATTAAACTTCTCCCTTAAAGTCATACATAAACCTAAACTTGTCAAATATGGTAAAGTGGATTTACAATGATTTACCGATAACAACAATTTTATTATGATAGAACCGTTAACGGCGTTTTTCTTAGGTTCTTGCCTGTTTGCCTGCTGGCGTAAGTATATTTTATTTTAAAGCTTAAAAGGTGTTTTCTGTATTACTTTGATGATATTGCGAGTACAGTCTTTATTTGGAGGCAATCTTATTCAAACTATACTTCCAGACATCTATATTATACTCTTTATTAATAAACACAAAAAATGTAAGATATAAAACATAAATATGTAAAGATTTAAATCGTCAAATCTCTGTGAATATGTGAATACATCTTAGAGCCCTCTAAGAGAGATCTCTTCCAGCCAACCAAGGTTTAGTGAGAGAAAATCTATTAGCCCACCTAGCATTTTAAAGTTTTGACGGTCCCTAGCTAGAAATAAATGTTACATTGAGCATAAAGTTAACACCTACGCAGTTTTGAAGCTAATTTCATATCCATCTTTTCGTGTGTTCTTAAAATCATTGCTCTACTATAAACATATATTTTTCCCATTGACCGTTGAAACTCAGTGGGCCGATACATATGCCCGGAAGTACGAGTATATAATATAGCAAAGACTTCACATTATAATTATTTAAATCTCTTTGTATCATTGCAGCTATGAATGTAGAAGTGCTGTTCTTACTATTGATAACAGTTATAGTTTTAGGGATCTTTGTAGCAATAAAACATAATTGACAATATCTAATCTATATGCATATGCTTGATGGCAGATTTAAATAAATTTAAGGCTTTTTGAATGTTTACCTAGCGGATCAACTACATGTTGACACAATTGCTGCTCAGAAAACGCCTTTGCAAGTTTTTGACGTGACAACGTCTTAAATTAGGTTGCGGCTGGGAGTCACTTATGAAAAAGTGTAACGCTCGGTAACGTTACGATGAGTCTCTCGTGTTAAGTTTAAGTTTACATGTACAATGTTTTAGTAAACAAAATATATTTCTATAGTTAAAATTTGTGCAATTCTTATTTTCATTCAATTCCTTGTTCCTATTGTGCAATTTAATTATATTCATATCAATAAATATTCTACCGAGAAAAAGACGTTGTCACGTAAAATCTTCGCCCGTAAAACCGACTTTACAGGCAACCATTTTTATTAATGATGTTCTGTTGCTTTTTCTATTTTAACTTTCAGCTTGCTATTTACCCTGCTGCTTGTTTCTACCATTGATCCCTATACCCTTAATCATAAAAGACGAAGATGGGAAAGTCAAGAGAAAACGATTTGACAATACAGTAAGCCAATTTTTAAATTATTCCATGGGTGATATAAATGGCGTTAAAATCTATTAACTCGAGTAAATAAAAATAATAAACTTTCAGAATAATTGCAACGATCACGCTTACTACATAGAAATGACTAAAAGTGGATTGTTCTTGAAAAAACGTAAAAGGCTTTCTTGTTTCAAATAAAATTATTAAAGAAAACAAATGAAGTTTTATCACTTAAAATCCAATAGAAACACAAGTTTATAAATCTCTAATTACTCTACACAATAGCTTTAGAAAAACGAAAACATAAAATCAAAAGTTTTACGCAAGCTGACTAAAAACCAACTTTAATAACAAAAATATTAAATTGTCGAACATAAGGCAACCAAATCGGGCAACCAACTTAGCCAATTGCAACAAACTTACACGGCAACTCGTCACTGGAGCCACTGTGACTCGAGCCCTGGTGTCTTCGATTCGTGACTGCATTAGGATTCACCATTCCCATCCCAGACATGTTCATATTGAGTGGGTCCATAAGTCTCCCGTGTCCACTGCTCGACGTCAAATCGTCCGGGCTCAGTTCTTCGCTCGTAAGAGACACTGAACTCTGTCCGCTGACTAGTACCGAGTTTTGTATGTCCATTGGACTGTGTTGCAAGTTAGATGGACTGTGCAAGAACGTCGTCGAGTCCACATAACTGGCGACTAAATTGTCTACGCCCATAGAAGTCTCCGGTTTGATTTCCTGCTTTATGTTTATCACGCCGCTTGATATAGTCGCTGGCGACTGTATCCTCTCTTGGTCATAGCGGTCGAACTCCTGTATCCTAGGTCTTGGCATTTCGTTCACTGTCGCTTGTCGGATTGTGGTCGTTGCCGTTGTCGAAGTGCTGGTCGAAGTGGAGCGTGCGCTCGCGCCTTTCTGTTGTTGTTCGTCTACCGACAATTTGTACGTTAATTGGCGGTTGCTCCGTTTATATAGAATTCTGCTATCCATCGAGTTTTACTATGGTGATTTGCCCTTCATGTTAAGTTAGAGGGAGCACCACCAGCTCCTTAAAAAGTCTGTTGTATCTAACTGTCAAATATACATGATACGACGGCGTGCTATTAAGGGATATGATGAGTAGGTGAAATGAAACGTCAATTCTGTATAGAAGACAGATAAAAGGTTTTCTATCTACCTTTATAGGTCAAATAGAAATAATGGAAAGTAATAAAGAATTCTTCCGTATATAAAAAGGTGAAATCAAGTTTTTAAATTGTATTTGACAGATATTGAAGACTTAATCAGGAGTTAGTGAAATGGACTTGTTAATGTGGGAGAATTTATTTTTCCTTCTTCTGTAGTTAAAGCAGATTAAGTTTACTGTTAATTGTGTAAACACACTCATAAAGAAAATGGTATTTACAGTTAATGAATTCATATTAGTAAGCATGCCTATGAAAACTTCAACAATTTCAATTCAAACCAACTCAGTTGCTGCAGGGCAACCAACTTAGTTGCTTCTGAATTCAACTTACCGTGGCCAATGAAGTCTGTGTCCAAGAAGCCGGTTTGCTTCGGTTCGTACGTCGTGGAATCTGCATTATAGTCCCCGGATATGTCGTAAGGCTGCTGTGGCGGTGGTTGCGGCTGTATGCCCATGTTTGATGTCAGTGCCGGCCCGGCGTTGTTGTAACTGTACGAAGAGAGAGGCGAGCCGTAACCGGGATAGCTGCGGAACGGAAAATAGGTCAATTTTAATTCAACTGCTTCGCTTCGCAAATTTGGAATGAATTAACCAAAATAGTTGCATAATGGAATTTAAAATTTAACGCAACTACGTCGCTTCCTAAGTTTTGATTTAAGATTTAATGGTAGAGAAACTGCTTTTCGATAATTTTTGTCTAAACCTTTTTACGGATTCTTTTAAAAACGATGTAGGTACAGAAACTTAAATTAAAAATTATTATAATCTTGTTATTACTTATTAATATTGGTCCTTTTTCTCTCTGTTATCTTTTCAATGATAAATGTCTGGCTGTCGTTTAGTCTGCAAGACGAGCTGCGAATTCACAACGTCATTTTAAAATATCACCAAATATTTAACATTGAAGAAAACAAAACATTGTGATCAAAATATTTTACAAGCCATCAAATTTACTGCATCTTATATTTTTCACACATTTCTCTGTATAGGTCCACCATTTGTACTGACATCTGTGGAGCCGATGAAAAAATGCAATAGTACCGCTACCCGTTACTAGGTGGCGCTACATGATTGTACCGTTAGAGATGTCTCTTCGCGTACCGTTCTCTATAATGATGGCGCACTGCTGACACGAATAAACTTGATGTATTACGGGACGCACCTAGCGGGACATTGCGCTTTAGAATGTTCGCACAGCTATGTGTAATGTGACGGACGGGTATTGACAAGGGAGTTTTCTTTTTATTTTAAAATTTAACGGCCTTGGATAGGTCTATACAGCCTAAGTTGAGGGTGTTCTAACAATGTTGATACAAAGCTAGCTCATTGTACTTATTATAGGGAATATAAAAAGAACCATAGTTGTTTGAAACTTATTGCTGAGGTGATGAGCTGTTTTAAGTGAGGTAGAATGTTTGCACAGGTTTGGACCTATATTGCGACAGATGGGCAGACACAAGAGAGTTCTAACAACGTTTCAAAATTTATACTTAAGCAATCTCTCAATTAGCTGTCGTAAATTTTAATCGAATGTAAAAAATTGGACCATTCTATTGATTCATTTAATTTGATAAGGCTCTATGAAGTCCCATCACAAATTTTTCGCATTTGTTACTAGAGTAAACGATGCCAATGATGGCGGCGACTAAGTATAATCGGTTTTTATAGGAGAACTAACATTTTGCTCCACCTATCCTGATATCATGTTATGAGTGGAGTCTGTTGCGAAGATAGTCAATGTGCCTACTTAATATATTGGTTGGCCTAGAACCAAATATGGCAAGCAATGAATAATAAACACACATCTGTGTAGAAAGCTTTCCTACACAATGCCACATTTAGAATTATATATGTAGTTGGGTCTTACATTCGTCTTCGGAAAATCAATTATATTTTAAAGAGATAGAGCATAGCAGATTATCCGCTCTAATTGGAACGCCAGTCTGGGGAAGTAACTCCTCCTTACAAAAGATCATAGTGAAATAACACTACCTCTTGGTGGTGTTGTGTTTTTGTCGGTGAGTAAGGTTCCAGTGATCCACGGGGTAGGAGATTGGATCAGGATAGGCAACGGCGCGAGTAATATTTTTGGAATCGCAAGCGTTTATACTCCATGATGACCGAATAGCCACAGTCGAGTCATAAGTAGGTTTGTCACCCTTTTAACATTTTTTAAATTCGCTAAGTTGATGTAGTCAGATTCTTTGTTAAAGCGATAGAATAAGACAACACATCACTTTGACAAACAAAAACCTTAATGTGAGACGTCTCTTAGAGTGGCCGTAAAATGTTGTCGGATAACAATAGAGACAAGTTGCCAGCCCAACGCCCACAAGTATTTTCTAAAACTATTTGCATGGGAAAGTTACTAGTTACAGCATCCAATGTTTTTCTTTCACTCTCAGCTCAACGAGGGGTATTCTTAATAGGACAATTTATATTAACTCTCTCTCTGTCTCTCATTTATAATCTTTCGTAATCATCACACGTCAGTTGATGGATGCCGAAGAAAATTTCACGAAGACACGCGCTTAAAATGTCGGTTACCCAAGACAGTATCAAAACAAATTGCTTTTAGTCTGTCTCGAGATCTGCGTGGGTGTAGCACGATAACACTGCTAAAGTGTCGTGCTGAATGACAGCGGAAAGCGTGGCGAATAGGCTAGCGCCAATGTTTTACGTCCAATTTCAATAAATTAATTAGGATCAACATCTATATACGCAACTTCTGCTGCGGCGTATGTTATATATGAACAATCCATTATGTGGATTAGATATGTATATATGTATATTAAATTTATTTTTGAGCATGTTACAATAAATAAATAAAATAATCGCCAGTGAAAGGTTAGGATAATAATCTGGTTCCGTTACTTAGCGAATGATATTATTAAATAAGAGACAGCCGCTCATTAATCAAGCTTATCGAATTATCCCCCATAAATTGATCAGGAAAACACATTATTATTATAACAAATATCAGTTGTCCCATGGGACTACTGGAAGATATTCATCCTACCTGTGGCTCAAGTGGGATAGACAGAAATTTTCAATGAAAAAATTATTACCAATAACATGTTTCTAATTGCAAAAAATAAACTAATATTTTTTAACACTGTATTCAAGCCAAACCACCGATGCTTGTTGACAAGTACTGTTTTTTTATGGGAATCAAAAATGAAATTGCGAAATGCTGAAGATGAATGAAAAATTTGTGGCGATGTTTAAAGTTTCACTTTAATAATTTCTTAGCAACTTGATTATTTCACTAGGATCTCACGATAATCGCTTCAAAATAACACTACCCGCTATTATACAGAACGCAAGCTAGGTAATCTTTGACTGTGCGTTGGCACCGAGACGTTTGACAATATTCTACTCATGACGAAGCTCCTAAAATGTTTAACAGATAAATTTAACACGTACTATTACTGAACAATGCAAATATTGAGAGAAAATAGCAAATTTGCATTGCATCGCAACGTAATAGGTAATTAGTATTAAGTATTAAGAAAATATGAAACAGTAGAAGTTTTGCTCATTCTTGTGATGTTTCTAGCACATAGGAACATTTGAAATTTTGAGGTGCGGAAAGAAATGAATTATGATCATTGAATCATGAAAAATCTATACCTAGTTTTTTAACTTCTAGATTCGCAGTGCTGTTTCGGGAGTCATTATTTACCCTTCTATTATATGAAATGCGAATACGTCCCACCAGTAGGACAAATCGGTGGGACCACGGGCCCTTAACCAAAGGATCATGTCATCGTAATATTAACATAAATATTTTGAACTATCAAAGAATCCCAGCAGTAATTAAATCAGTGACGTCATCATATCGAAAAGATAGGAATGATTGAATTAAATTATCTTTTATTTTAAAAGCCATTACTTATCAACAGTTTCGGATTTTCTCTCCGGCCAAATACTTGTTTTAGGAAATGTGTGAAAAATCTTAGCAAACCAACCCAACCAGATTTCCTAAAAGAGGTCTTTTAATGTCGCATTAGGCGTCGCTAAGGTAGGTCACGTCTATGATTCCGCTATTCGTTAACAGATGTCGCTACTTACCCATTGTAATGGCCGTGGAATTGATCGCTGGAACTCGGTGTTTGCTGTTGGGCGTCGTATACTGAGTCTGGTGCTGCGTCTGTCTGCGCTCTCATTTGTGCTCGGTGGTACCGCACCTCGTCTTCTACCTTCTCCCGCTGTTTCTTGGACATCCGACCGAATTTAACAGCTGGAAATGAAAAAGATGACACTTTAAGTAGGTACAATGTATAAAACCTACTACATAAAGAAACGGAAGTAATGTGAACATTCTAAGAATGGGACTTCACAACCTCCTTGGTAGCGCTCCCACGAATACCTCTTTGGATTATACGAAATCTTTGATTTGTCTACTCGCCGCTCAAGCGCTGCTATCTCTCATTAAAATGACGTAACGAGAGAATTCAATAATCGCGCCGTTCCCATACAGAAATTCTCAATTCACACGCGGGAAACAAAAAAAAATACTATTGAAAAATCGGTAAGCCTCGTCTTCGATAATACAATTAAATCTCAATGACACCTAGCTTAGCTGTTACTCAATACTTCACAACCACATTCTTGTTTACTATTGTGTGCGTGTAAGATTGTGGTGTGCAGTTTTCGCTGTGTGCGTTAGGCGTTTGTGTGCGTGCGTTCGTTGGCATACTGCCTAGTGGCACAACGAACTTCGCGACCGATGCCTGACGTATACATACTATAATGACGTCTGCTACGTAACATCATGTTATACCGTTGCTGCGAAAAAAGGAACGCGCGCTTTTAAATTTTAAACACCGATATTTTTTTTTTCGAATTATTTATTAGAATTTATCCCATTTTAATAAACTGGAGAGGCAACGAGAACAGAGATCATACAGGCATCGTATTTTGTTAAAAAAATATCTTTAGAAGATTTTTTTATGTTATAGCTAATCGCCTAGGATATGCAACCCATTTAGGTAGTCGTAATTAAAAACAATTGCTAGAACTTTTCTCTTTGTTAATGGTTCAATGAACTTTATCATCGACCAATGTATGTTGAGCCGTGGCTGCTAGCGATTTGTTTGAACAAGTGTGTTTATTGCTGGCGGCCGACTTTTATTGCCGATTTTTGGAACAGTGAACCATAGTTTAACGGCCTAGTTCGGCTTTTCTTACAAAAGTGTGCGAGGAACAATAACACGTTGTTCGCTATAGGAAATAATACAGTCGTTTGTTATAATTTTATGCTGGAAATTTGTTTTCTTGAGAGATTTATAGGACATCTTTTGTGTGGTGATTCTATTCAATGAATGGCCGTTTGTTTCGTAACCTATTTAGAGGTTCAAATGTCGATAAATCAATTCATTTACTAGCTTTAATGCTGCTGTTAGAAATCACGACAAAAGAACTGAACAATTTTCGTTTAATAAAACAACGCTGAAATATATAATAATAAATACTTATATTATTTGAAAAGTTGTTTGATTGAACGTGCTTAATGTCAGGAACCTACTGGTTCAATTCGAAAAATATTTTATTGTGTTGGATAGTGCATTTATCAAGGAAGGCTGTAAGCTATATATTATCACGCAACGATCAGTAGCAGCGGAGCATCCATGAAAAATGTTGCAAAAACGGGAAAAAAGATCCATCTGAGAGCTTCTATTGCGTGCGCTGCTTAAACGGTAAAAGTTACACAAAAATCATGTATGACTGAATTGTTCGCCTTCAAAAGTTCTAAAAAAATCCGCGACAGCATATTTCTATCTTATTTGTGACTATAACCTTATAAAACCTCTAGTTATTCTATTATAATAAGTATGATTCTTTTTCATCAAGTACGAAGGTAAGCCAAAAACCTTGCTAAGTGGTAAAAATCATATGAAAATATATTTTTTTTCCTAAAATATGCTCAAATGGTACAATCCGAAAGCTAACTAAACTTGGCTTGGTTGCCTTCTCAGTCTTGACTGCGATGCTCTAGCAAGACAAAATGATACAAAAACGAACTCTATCTATCGCTTCGAGTCTGGGCGTTTATGATTCTTCATCATCATCAGCCTATTAATGTCTTCATCATGTCGTGGTCTCATAGTTACCTACTATAAAAAATATGTATAACTCCCGTGCTCTATGTTTTTTAATATATTATAGCTAGAGAACTACTGTTTTAAGAAAAAAACGAGTGTGCTTATGACCACAAGACTGAAGTGAAACTTCCTTAGCTCCATTTGTATGTATGTGTGTGTACAATATATATATGTATGTACATATACATATTACATTTACAAGCTATAAGAGAAAGAGAGAAAGAAAATGTGAGCACGCACTGCTTTCTTTTGCTTATATCCCGCACTCAACTCGCGTTAGCCTCGCCCGAACACACTTTTCGTAACGCGTAACGCATTCGCCAACTTACCCCCTAAGTCAAGCGTGCGTAAAGAAGTTTCACTTCAAAAAAATATCTTCTTCCGATTACTAGGTGATTTTAAACTATGTCATATCAAAAGGAAAGAATAGAAATGACTGCTTAAGGAAAATCTTGTCAATATAACGAGTCTTAATTCGCGTGTCTCACGTTACAAGGAATAACTATCAACGACGTCTTTCAATTAAAAAAGAACTAGGTGAACCAACAGACCGATATTTCAAGTATAACACTTATTAAGTGTGGAAAAAAAATGTAACAAGAGTATCTTCAAGCATTACGTGTGCATAAAACGTACGTGTTTGCGTTACGCTCCACGCCTAGCTATTGCACAATCGATAACGCTAATACGCTGTTACAGTATATATCGATATTTTTTTTTTTCGATAAAATAGAATTCTTACGGACTTTTGAATTGACACGAGATAATATTTTTTTTTCCAAACGTACAATATGTTTTTAACACCATTATTAATATCGAAAAAAATTAGCTAGATGTGTAACATCAGATAATACGTGGGTGAAGAGAAACAATTTCTTGCAGAGAGATTCTTATTTTTAGACTAAACTCAAATTGAAAATCTCATGATTTGTAGTTCGTAATCGGACACGTTTTTTATTTAAAACTAAAACCTTTAAAAAAAACGTATGAACCGTTCTCTTATTGGAACCAGAATAATTAAAAGAATTCTAAATTGAAAAAGGGACGCTGTCTCCCTTATCGAATAAAACATTATTTATTAGAACATTTTTATATGAATTAGGCGGAAAATTTGACACCGCAATATGAGTTTTAATAAAAAAATATCATTCTTTTTGACTATGCATAATTAACATTACCGAAAATGTTCATTAGTAGGCTATGAATGACACCGTCATTATTTTTCACTGCAGTAATATTTTTCTTTGCTGCTGGCTGTTTCAAATTAGAAAGGTTATTTATACAAATCTCCCACACTCTAGCTAATTAATAATCTAAGAAATTCGTTATTGATTAACAGTGTCCAAATGATTAAGTACGTGGGCGAGCTCGATGCACAAAATTTATTATCTGACCTACTTTTAGACTGGTGTCTGAATTAAAGAAAGTCTGTATTCCGAATTTTGGTGTAGCATTAAATAAGTAATAATAGTTATATAAGTGTAATGAGTAGTACTTATCAACGTTAAGACTCTTTGTAATTAATAGGTTTTATTTTGAGCAATTTGAAAGTTTGCACATAGATTCACACCATATAATTAGAAATAACATCTATGATTAGAAATAATTATTTTTTTATATTCCTCAGTAATATTTAGACTACATTTAACGTTTACAACCAATTAAAACCTTTGCGGTACACACATGGTTTATATACGCGAGGCCTGTGGTGAAACTGCTATATAGAAATATACTCATACGAGTTGGATGTTACTGTACTCTTAGCACGGACCAATATCGAATTCGCATAGTTTGCGAGTGTGAAATGTCAATGTCAAATTTTGTATTGAAACTTGAAAAACAAGACTTAGCGAGATCTAAAAGTCAGTGCACATTTGACATAATATCTCAAATATGCACTGACTTTAGATCGAATTCAACTATTCGAATTTGATAATGGTTATTTACCTTTTTCTTTTGCTCTCAGATCTCAGTACATAGGAAATAAAAGACAGAATGAATGTAAGTAAAATTATTATAATTTCTTACTGAGCATAATTAATATAAATACACCAGGCTGGTAGCAAAATAAAAGAGTGATCTCTATGTAACCATATAGAAAAATTATATATATCATTCTTTATTTTCTCACTTACTCCATAATTATTGCTGCCTATTTTGTAGTCAATGTTTAGTGATTGTTGTTATAATTATTTAAATTATTTTAAGACTAAATCTTATTTTCATCATTTTGCTAATGTGTATAGGAATGTATTATTCTTTTATTAATCTCAGTAGTAAACTTTTGCATTATTTATTTATATTTTTTGCATGTATTCGCTCTGTGCACTATTTTCATTCTTTACTTTTAACGCTTCGCAACTCAGTAGTGTATGTGGCATAATAGTATGTTTTATTTTATTATTTAATCACATTTAGTTGATTCCGTTTTATAATCAAACTCTATTAATTTTTATTAAACAACTGTCAGTGTAATTTTTGGTGCACCTATTTTTATATCCTGATATAAATACATCAGACTCGTAGCAAAGTGAAGGAGTGATCTACTTATTTTCGCACTCTATTTTTAGTTTTTATTCTAACAACTGTCAGTGCAGTTTTCGATATATTTTCATCGAAGTTGGCCCCATCACTATGTGTTACGTATCATTGCGCAACGTCACACCGCACACGGTACGGTGCCGTCGCGGTATTCGATCACACGCGAATGTCGCAGACAATGTTGCGAAGAGGCAGTTTTAGATAACGCTTTGCCCGCCTTCATATATAATTATTTTCGTGTTATAATCAACAGAGAGACTTAAGAATTGTGCTCTCATTTCATGAAAATGGAATAGGTAACCCAGGCCTAGTACGGTTGGCTAAGTACTAACGACTGCAGATGCAGTCGGGAGCAAAAAGGCTTGAAGTGCCTTTAAAAGTAGGGAGAAGCTCGAGATGTAAAACTTTTGGTCACCCAACTTATAATGACCCGGACATTGAAAAAGTTATACCAATACTTAAAGACCGTTTCAGTTACCTGAGAAACATTACTATCTTATTCAGACAATGATTTAGGTTATTTTCCGCAAAAAAATATTATGCATTTTTTCGAAGTGGGCCCTACGTTAACTTAATAATTATGCAAGTATGAAACCCTAACAATTTTAAATGACATTAATTAATTCAAATCCTATTTTTACTTATTCAATAATAGGTATGATATTTACAAAGGAGATGTTTCATTTTGGGTTAGGTCTATGTACACCTTCCTAAAAAATAGGATAAATAATAAGAATTCCCAGAAAAATAGTAAGTATTACATGAATCCATGTCTTTTTAAGTCTGTTATTTTATAAGCGATGACAATATTTTTGTATAGGGATAAGTTTACTGTTTATAACTGTACCCTTACCACGAACCAATATCGAATTCGAATAGTCTGCGAATCCGAAATGTCATTGTCAAATATGTATTGATTTTTAGTTCTCTTTACGTCTGAGTTACGCTGAGTGGCGCTGCTGTTCAAGTTTCCATACAAAATTTAACAATGACATTTCGGACTCGCAAACTATTCGAATTCGATGTTGGTTCGTGCTAGGACTACTGTTCTCACTGTTTTTATTAGACGATTTTCAAGTTTCTCATGTAACTCAAAATTCCCTTTGGATATGTTACGGTTGATTCAATTGCGTGGTTTATGTGAAGTGTGTACCGTTACAAATTACGCAAAGCACAACACAGCAATATAATTGCGTATTAATATACCTTTCTTGTGGTACTATGAGGAAGGGGAATGGAGTCAACGCACTCTTATCAAAGATACGCCACGGTATGTTTATAGTGTGGGAACTAAAGAGGTTACAATTTCAATAATCGCAATGGCTGAATTCAGATCATGCTACTCTGTAAGCACAAACTCACTTTTCACCGCGGGATTCACCGGTGTGATTTGAAATTTATTTTTAAATGTTTTTGAAATGGGGGAATTTTGGAAAATGTGAAACGGAAATACGTCACGAGCGTTACACGACTATATATATATATGTGTGTGTGTGTGTGTGTGTGTGTGTGAAGGATGCGTGCGCAGCTCTTCTTCCTGAAGAGTATGAACGATGGAGGGTAACATTTCGTGACATTCATGAGTGCTTGTAATAGCCTAAACTGAATAAATGATTTTGATAATGATAGGTGACCGAGTATTAGTATAATCTTTATCTCCTCCGTACTGAGAAAAAAACGCTGAGCAGGAGGTCCCTATTTTTTTTTAGTCTTTGAAGGCAAAAGATTCCTGGTGCATACAGTCATCCAACTTCTAAAATAATTACTGCGCAATGGTCAAAAATAATGTTATCTTTTATATTGTAACTTGTTCATTGTGTCCGTATTTATTTTTATTTCCAGTTTATAACTATAGTGTGTGTGTCATTCTAAGCTAGCCCTGCCATAATAGCGCTAGCAATAGCGCTGGCGCGACGCAATGTCGCATAAGCTAATGCTAAGGCAGGGTGCTGGTTAGCCCTTACTGCCTTATTACAAAAAGTAGACTATAGTTTAACCTGGACTAAAACTGATGCTGTCACTTTGGTTAGCTAAAAAGAATACAGAGACAAAATTAGGTTTAAACCAAGACTAACATTAGTCCGCGTTTTGTAATAACGGGGTTAGAGATCATATTTTCTAGTACTAGTCCCCTAAAAAAACACTATGTTTTTAAGGGTTAATAAAAACATTTTTCTTTCTATCTCCGGCTCGAATTTCGCCGAATTTTCATAATCACACTAATATTATAAAGGCGAAATTTTGTGAGTGTGTATGTTTGTTACTTCGTCACGTCTAAACGGCTGGAGCGATTTTAATTAAATTTGGTATGGAGCTAACTAACACCCTGGATTAACACATAGGCTACTTTTACTGTGGGAAAATATCCCTAATAAACCGCGGGTAACACCGTGGGGCACAGCTAGTATTTTCATAATACCGATATAGATGGAAAACCACTTATTTATAAGTTTACAAAATAATATAGCCATGAATCAAACTTACCATCACGACTCATGCCGAGCTTGAGACATTTCTGCAGGCGACAATATTGGCACCTGTTTCTGTTGACCCGGTCCACCACGCAGGCCTTGTTGCGGGGACATTGGTAGTTGACCACTGGAAACCGAAACTAAGTAAATAAAGACTATACACTTGTGCTCTGGTGATCACAGACACGGCATACTTATATTACTAATTAGCGTCCACCTCGGCTTTGACGCGATAAAATACAGCCTGTGTTACTCAGCCATGAGCACTGCGTTGCCCTCAAGTTCGAGTGGTCGCCAATTGTCGGCTTGAGGTTCTCTCTCTAAATTCTTGCATTAGCCTACGATCCATATTTATTATTAAAAAAGCGCACCGAATGGCCTACTTCAAAAGTCCAGTCATCAAAATGCTAATTCTGCAGAAATGTATGTCGCTCTAGACATCCTAACCTTTTCGACCTAAACCCAATGGGCATACTGAAAAGATGAAAATTTGTTGAACTTTCACGTAAAATTTAACCAAACAAAAGTTGTGCCATTCTTTGGTATAATCTCTAGTAAGTATGCCAATGACTATACATTTGGAACTTTTTCTGTTGATTTTGAAATATTTTAACAAATATTAATATTAATGATTGGGCATATCAATATTAATGATTGGGCATTTTAAAGTCATTTCATTTTTAATTCTTAACCCCTCTTTATTAGAATTGTGTAACAATATCCAACAAAAAACTAATAATGAATTTACTACAGACAAACAAATAATGAATTTCGCTTAAAGGGCTAATCATTATATAGTCTACCCTACTGTATCGCGCCTCTTCTTAAGCACACAGCAGATTTTAAGCAGACGAGAATACGTATGCGTCAATGTCCAAATTAGGATATATCCAGAATCAGATATTTTGGGATACTGATATATATTTAGAATCTCATATGATGCGAATAAAATGAATGCTCACTTTATAAGTTCTTCGTATGCGAGTGATAAAATTTCCATTCGAAAGGTAACTTAAAATCATATAATACTGACATAAGAATTCCACAAAAAAACGACTTAAGGCCGCTCTAAAATGCATCAATTACATTTCATTCTTGTCCGTTTGAAGTATTAGCTCCGTTCTTTCCTTCTAAAAAGTTACTTTTTGTATACCACAATTTTGCCAATGTCTTGTAGGATGAGACGGTACGAATGTCTGAATATCAAGTTTAAACTACATGTATGTCATATAATTTATATCGTCATAAATCGGATGGCCCGTCATCAACACGCACTAATCCGCGCTGAGAGCAATTTAGTTCCTTTATGATTAAGTAAACCTGCTTCACCAACGGGATATTCTATCACTATTTATTGAAAAAAAAAAACTAAAAAGTTGTATATCGTACAAAATGGAACTAAATCATTTAAGTTCGTCGTGAATCAGAGAATACATTTTTTACCATGGCTTGCGTGTTTATATCGGTCAATCAATTACTAAATTACATACTCACACTCGCATTGAAATGAGTTATGCAACCAAAACAAATAGGTGCTTATTCTTATTTTTATCAGTTTCTAAAACGACAGTAAACCAAAAAGTTAGTCTAGAAAATCAATACCAATTTGTACTGGTAATATCTAGTAACTTTTAATTAATAGATGAATTAGTCTGACTATCTATTATGTTTTATCAATCAAATTAAAAAGAAAACAGTTTGTATGCCAGCCAGTTCCTTTTTTTATGATTCTTACTGTAAATTGGAAGGCAAAGACTTCTATTTATAAAGGCGATAAGTGCCATTTTTTTCGAAAATTATTATTTGAGAAAAGAGTTTGTTAATCATAATAGATAGATATATGACGCCGACCTGTACTCTGTGACCGTCTGAAGAAACCCTTGCATCCTTCGCAGGTTATCACGCCATAGTGTACCCCCGATGACTTGTCACCGCAGACTTTGCATGGTATAATCTCGATTTGAGCTGAAACAAAAGAAAAAATACGTCAAATTTTTCAAAAACATTTAAGTGATTGATGAAGAAATCGATAAATTTAAACAAATAAGTGTAGTCCCGTCTGATACGGTGTCAGAGATACCTAATTCCTTGGCTGCTCTTTCGATATAAAAGTTCTTTAGATATAAAACATAAACAGTATAATGTTTAAATAAAATTATTCTAAAAACCCATTGATATTAAAAATAAAGTGAAGTAAAAGAAAAGAATTGAATATTTCATTACTTCGCATGAATAAATCTTTTATTAAATTGAATTGAGATTAGATACATTGCTTTACTTAAAACGACGATTTAAAATTCTTGCAGAAATGATGCAAAAATAGAAATTTTATTACAAAATCTCAAAAAAGACAATAGGGAACCTTTAAAAAAATGTCAATGGCCATTCCGCGATTTTGCAAAATGCACAAACCGTGCCTGCCTTAAAATAAAAAAAAATCATAACCAAAGAGGCGTCATTTAAAATGGCCAGCTTCGACTCAAAATTCGAATTGTTTCGAACGCGGTTTTTGGTGTGCAAGTTCATCGACCCCGAGGCAAGGTCGCAGCGCGGCCGATGACTGCACTGCACGCTTCTGTGTGCGTGGTATCACACCATTACACCGACACCGGTGGGATAAGAACTTAGAACGGGATCGCCTTCTCAGCAGACTGTGAAGCGCGAAAAAGGTGTGATGCGATGCGATGCAACCTCTTCGCATTCAAAAGAAATTGCATGCTATAACACAACTTGATAGTGATTTGTTTAATATGAGATAAAAAGTGCGATTAGTGCAGTACAGGAAGCTTACTTTTATTAGCGTTGTCAATGTCATTATTGAACGATATATCACGTAATCAAGGCTGAACTATCAAGCGTCAATTCATTTTCTATTACCTTTTGTATTAACGTATCGTTTACCGAATTTTCTACTAAGCGTTTGCCACCTGGCTAGGTTAAGGCAGTTATGTAACCTTCTTGCAATGCAAATAACAATTTTATAGTAAAATACAGATTAATAATGAATGCTAAATGAGTCTACTTCAAACTTTTCAAACTATGCAACCGTTTCGCGATTAAATAAAAAAGCTAAACACAACGGAATTTTAAATGCTGTATTTCGATTACCGCAGAGTTGGAGCCAGTGTCGATTAGAGTAATATATTAATATCAAGTTATATTGATTTCAATAGAATCTAATTGGTTTGTGCATTAAGCTCATTTATTTTTTCCACGTGTAACGATGAGAGATACAATTAATTTGAATGTTTTAAATAAACTTCCTCAATAAAATTCACCTGGTCAGTAAAAAAATATTTTATTTATTGCATTACTATCTATTTCAATTGCTGTCTATTAACTAAAAATTCAGACACAGATTGGCTCAATTAACAGGATATTCCCAAATCCTAATGCAATCGCCACAATTTCCGAAACAAGCTTACGTCAAAAAATTTGAAACAATACCGTGTAGTGACAAAATGTCAATTGAGTAACAATGGACACTCATTTTGATGACTGTACGTCGTGCTTGCAAAACCTCATTGTCAGCTGTTTAGCAATATCCTTTTACCAGCAGTTAGCATAAAATCTTTAGTGCTAATCAAAAACTTTAGCTGTTCTTGTAACTATGTAACTAATACTTTATACACGATTCTACAAAACAATTGACAATCTTTGTAGACTGAACACGAACGTGTTTTTAAAAAACCAGATTGCGATCCAAATTTGAAAGATAATGAATAAAAAAGCCTCTTACGCAACTCGGTTTTGAATACGGAACAAGCGCAACTGACTTCACACACACAGTACCTACTCCCATCCACCATAAAAAAGGGACAGCGAACTAGCCCGACTTGCCCCGTTGCACTCACCAGCTGATCGTGACGTCACAGGTCGTCGACCCGTCGCTCGTCGTTCGGATTTCGAACTCGGACGGAATCGTTCGAAAATTGTATCACGCCCGCGATGACGTCATAAGAAGGCTCGCGCCGTTCGAATTTGGAATTCGTGTTCCGTTTTTGAATTATTCCGCGCACCGTTACGTAACGATGCATTCGTGTGGGTCAGGTTAGTTCACAATTATTATGATTTTTTTGCAATATTTTATTTTGTTCTCATTATTTTAATTTATTGTTTTGTAGGATAAGATCGTTACAGGAAAAGTAAGAAAAATATAAACATGAAATAGCCGATTTATTTATAGATTTAAGAGCGGACGCGAGCTGAAAGACCTTTGAGAAATATGTATTTGAAAAAACTATTGCTGTCACGCATGGCAAATACCATGCAATAAGGACAGTATGTAACGCTGAAAATTGCAAAATTCGAGGTTTGGCTCTCGACGATTTCCTTCGAAAGTTATATATATGTAAAAAAAATATTACCGATACAATAATAAGTAGTTACACTACGCCTCTATGTTTTGCTTTTTGTAAATGCTTATTGAATATCCACACAAGACATCTTCAGTGATGATAAAAAAAAAATGACATTTTTAGGGCTTATAGTTTCTTTGAAACATAAGTAATCAAAAAAAGGAAGTCGTAGGTACAATAAAGTGAGTAACATTATATTTTATGTATAAAAATCATTATTTCAGTGAAAAAATTCAAGGAGGAATCAGACGTGAACGTTTCTATGGAAAATACATTGACCGCCTCCTCTTAAGGCCTATTGAGTAAGACATCATTTTTATTTTAAGATTTGTTGCGTCTATAAAAAATAAATAAAAAAGAAACAATCAGTAGCTCAAATATTTTCGCTCATTCAACTTTACGTTAGGAAAAGAGGCTTTGTGTTGATGCAGATGTAGAATATTGATGTATTTTGGATCTTGGTTTATTTTCGGTTGGTTTTACACACATGCAGCAGGTTTCTGTACTGATTTCCAATAATATGACGTTGCAACTATAACTTTTACGATGCATTTGGTAATTAAAAATCAATTTAATACGGTGGCAATACTTTTTTTAGTGCGCAACTCAGAGTTCAAGTTAAAAACTTGATAATTATTGAACAGTCCATAAAGATACATAAATCAATTATGAATAAGCAAATACATGTTACTTTATGCATCACACGCCCACCGTACGTCACAGGTCAATGATCTATACCTACATAGTGAGTTGTTCGAAATTTGAATTTCGATCTAACGGCTTGCGTACGTCAGGGGTGAACGACCGCGTTTGTCCGAACTAAGCTTCCATACAACTATAAGTTTACCACCCAACGGCTAGAGACCTAGTTGCTATCGCGTAGACAGAAAACTTAATTTCGTTTAACAATTAATTTTCTGGTCGCACGCAATGGTTTTGTATCAGTATTGAAATTCGAATGAGATTGGTTCCTGAAATAGTTTTTATATTCTGCTCGGTCAGGATGTTTGGATTTTAGATTTTTAAGTGGCCAGTTCTTAAGAGATCTTGATGCCAAAAAGTTTGGTGAAAGAATTCACTTAAAAAACTGGTCAAGCGCGATTCTGGCCTCGCTCTATTATGGTGCCGTACTGACAAAGTTCATGTGATTTGACGTTTTCAGTATTTTATGTTTAAAAATAGCGAATAGGACATCACATAGGTACCAAAATTTCACATTTTAACTAATTTCAATTTTGAGACATACCCCGTAACAAAATTGGCCAAGATTGTTATTGAAAATAATAAATATTATATTTTGTCCTACTAAACGAGCTTTAACAAAGTATCACACCACCTATTAAAATAATTTTATCGAATTTTTAACTAAACATTCTGCTTTGGGCAAGCATTCTTCATAAATTATCAAAATTTCAGTTCTATAACTTATTCCGTTTATGAGCTAAAAACCCGTGACATACGGACAGATAGACAGTAATAGTGTTAGTTGTTTGCCCTTCGGACACGGAAATTTTCCATTAAAGATTTTCTAATATAAACTATAATTATTTGAGAAAAGAACGTACCCACATTTTTTTTCAAGTTTTAAAACAAGGAAACAAACAATCAATGAAAAATGTACCAAATGATGTTTACGTCCTTTTAATTGGATCAAATATGTTGTTGGCGAGAGATCAGAGCTATGCGTAAAGGTCTTTGAACTTCGTACATTGTAATGTTATTATTGTTTTCAAGTGACATTTAAATATAAAAATTTTTAACACTGTGTGTGTTGGTTAGCCTAACCCCGAAGTCACCATTGTAAGACTCGTGTTATGGCATACTAGGGTAACAGATAGAATACGTATACTGATACATAATCATATAAGTATATTTTTATTTATAATAATATATGAACATCCATAACTTGTTAACCGAGTTAAATTCGGCATCGTTATTAATAATCTTTATTAATAGTTCATGCACCTTTAAAAAAGTATAGATTTTTATGTAGAAGAAAGAGTTTCTAGAAGTTTTATGTAATTCCTCTTTTCTGTTACCTTCTGTGTATATCGTGACTAATTCTCATAAATTGTATTGACTTTCTTTAATAATTTCAAACAATATAGAAATAATTAGTATAAGAAAAAGATTTTGATATCATTCGACCGTGGAAGGTCAAACGTTATGCAAATCATGTTTTATTCTCAACAAAAAGTTTAAAAATAAAAAGAATACATCAGTTTGTTTATAGTTAGTATATATATACTCGTATATATATACAGAATGACAAAAATAACTAAACGCCTTTATCGGTCAAGGAAATACACAATGATATCGTCACATCGCTATCGAGTGACATCGTATGGCGTGTGACGTCGTAAGGTCAACGACCTTGATAAGCAAAATGGCCGATTGCAAAATTCGGATCGGCGGTTTTATCGTTTCATTTCAAAGCGTAGTCTGGCTTAGGTTACGGTTAGTAACCAATTCTAATGATTTCATTTTTAAACTTTGTAGGACTTTTTTATTTATTTGTTACGAAATTAAGGATCCTTTTAAATTCCGTCGAATTACAAATCGAAACAAACCTAAGCACATTGTCACTGAGTTAATTAAGTGGCATTT